GAAGGTTTATCAAAAACAAAGAACCAACCTTAGTGGTTCGAGCAGCTTTTTACAGGCCGACGTGATACCGAACACAAGGAGGAGTTGCTACTTATTGAGTGGGGAGAAATGGCATCCAAAGGGCGATAAGGTGGAAGTGAGCCTTTTACATCACACCATTTTGAAATCTAATATTATGCTTTTGAACTACACAAAGGTAGGATGCTTTGTGTTGCCTAGAAACCAACTGTCTGGTAATGGCTGCTCATGGTGAGGTATATTTTGACGAGAACAGGGGTCGCTACGTAGATCAGAGGCTTGGTCTTAAATCAGAAATGCTGGGGGAACTAATCTAGAAATGATGCATGCAGTGCTAACCAGTCTGTCAAAAAATATATTGTGCAAGTAGATTAAACATTATTTTAAAAAGTTATTCGCCAACCATTCAAGCAGTTAGTAAAAATACTGGATTTTAAACAATTTGATATGTGTTCCCTGGAGTGACTGATCCATTTTTGGAGCGACACGTTAAATTGTCAAACCGCACATCTTTTCCACATAAGTGCAGAATAGGAACTGCGAACTTTAAAAAAATTAATTCGACTGACACCATTTTGACCCTAGTGCCTTAGCTAATGCAGAGTTACATCCATTTGGTTGAAACACCTAAAGGCAGGTTGGCAAACTTGAATAAGAAGTGAGGAAAGATATACTGCGGAAGAAAGCTCATGAGCAAAAAAGCAGAAGAAGTCAATTTACCTAACTTCTTTATTATATGCTGAAAATACAATGCATTTAGAAACTACGAGGTGTATTGCTCCTGACTTTCCTCAAACGATTCTCAAAACTGTTCTTAGTAATTGGCATTTCATACGATTAGTGGAGTATCCAAATGCATGCAAAATGAAATTTGCTCGGCATTTTAAGAATTTTAATAAGTACAGACACAAACCGCAACTTAAGCTATGCATGTTGGCCGGTATGCTGGAGTGGCGTAGAGTTCATTTTTTCATCCTTGAAAAGGGTTGAAAATCATCTTGATGAGGAGATTTGTGTTAAAGTGAGCGGAAAACTTTGAACTACCAAAGACTTTAAACTTGCTTTCATCTTTGACTTAATGAGGCATCTAGTGAGTAGGGAAAAGACTTGCACGCACAAGATAGTAATCGCTAATTCAAAATGTTCCATATGCCTTGCTGA